TTTGAACTCAGGTCTTCCTAACTCCAGGATCAGCACTGTATCCACTAAGTCACCTAGAGGGCTCCATGTATTTTTTATATATTAGTATATAGCACAGTGCCTGGCTCATAGTAGGTGCTTAATACATGTCAACTGAATTACTGAATTATAAGTACCCATGGAAGAGGGCTCAGCCAGTAGCCACTTGCCCCACAGAAGTGCTCTTCTCCGTGTGCCAACCGATGCTTTCCCTTGCCTTGGCTTCTAACAACATAAAGATAAAGGTGGGTGGTGCAGTGGATAGAGTGCTGGTCCTGGAGTCAGGAGAGCCTGAGTTCAAATTCAGCCTCAGACACTTACTAGTTGTGTAACCCTGGGCAAGTCACTTAACCCTGTTTGTCTCAGTTCCTCATTTGCAAAATAAGCTGGAGAAATAAATGGCAACCCACTCCAGTACCTTTGCCAAGAAAATTCCAAATGGGGTCCTGAAGAATCAAACATGATTTAAACAACTCAACAACAAAAAAGCCTTTTACTAACTTGTATTCTAAATCATAATAAAGTAGGTGTTCTTTCCACAACAGTCTTTACCTCAAACAATTCTTATTTGTTGGTCATTTTGCAAAAGCCAGCATTTGAGACAGGCTCTAATATTTTATAAAATCACAGAATTGAGATCATCTAATGCAGTGGTGTCAAAATGAAATAGAAAAAGGGGCCCACTAAACCGTACATAAGGTTCCCAGCAGGTGGCATATTGACTTAGTTATGAAATTTAACAGTATCTACATTTTATTTTAATTTATTTGATTAAACATTTCCCAGTTACATTTTAATCTGGTTTAGGAGGCACTTGGGAGTGTTGTGGATCATATGCACATCTGACACCTCTGCTTTAATGTACAGTGAACCAAAGCCACCTGTTTTGTAAACTTTGGTTTGAAAGGGGACCCTACAGTTTTTAACACCTTCCCACAGGTTTATAGGGCCTAGAAGTGCTTGAAGCTTGATAACAGGCTCCAAGTTTTCCTAAAGCCATGTTTTTCAAGAACACAGCATCCTCAAAGCTATGTTAATATATGATAGGAAATTCCCACTTCATACCTCCAGAGATCCTTCCAGATTTCCCCAGTAGGAGCAATAGAACATCACAGACGAGAGATCAAAGTCCAAACTCTTCCTTAGCAATTTTAATCCAGCTCTTCTTTTCCTCCCACTGCCCTACCATGCCCCCATCAAAGGGTCCCATGAATCAAGTCTTCAGATATTTGAAGAGTTCTCGTGCAGGACAGAATCAGACTCATTTTGCTCAGCCTGAGAGGGCAGAATTCGGAGCAATATGGAGAAGCAATAGAAAGTGAATTTCACAAAAAGAAATTTCCTAGCAATTAGAGTTGTTCAGAAAAGAATACACTGTCTCAAGAGGGGGTCTCCATCAGTAGAGGGCTTCCAGTGAAGGCTGGATAATGACTTAGTGAATGGGAATATTTAAAATCACAGAATCCAATTCGTTTTTCAATAGGAGTCCCTTGTTTAAGATCTCCAATGAGAGGCCACCCAGTCTCTGCTTGAGGACCCCATGACCTACCACAGTCACCCAGGCCATTTTAGGATAGCTCTAAACATCTAAAAATGTTTCATTTTAATGAACCTATTATCTGCCTTACTGCAACTTCCACCTGTTAGTTCTAGTTCAGCCCTCAAGGAACAAACAGAATGAGTTAATGCTCCTTATCCATAAATAAGAGTCATTCAAATACGTGAAGACAGCAGCTATCATGTCAATCTTAAATTCTCTTCATTAGGTTAAACACTGCTCATCTGGCACAATCTCAAGGTCTCTCTCTACTCTGGTAGTACTCCGTATACGTCCTTCCTAAAACATAGCCAAAACCCACCTAATTGTACTATTTGTCTAGCCTACACCTCTCCACCATGTTCACAAGAGTAGCTGAGGGGCTGCCAAATGCTTTGCTAAAATCTAGATGAACTCTACCTGTTGCTCTGCATACAACAAATCCTGGCTCTATGCCTTTTCACTGACTGCTCTCCCATCCCTTGCATATTTTCCCTCCTTGCTTCTACTCCTTGGCTTCCTTTAAGACTCAGCTCAATGCAGAGAGAAATAAGAAGGACCACGAGAACGTTGTTCAAACAATACAATATTGTTGTATAATAACAGCAATATTGTTGTAACTGAATGACTAAGCTATTCTGAGAAATATGAACATTCCAATCGACTACAAACGACTTAGGAAGGAAAATACTATCCACCTCCAGAGAAAGAGCCAACGTATGGAATTATGTATCGTATGGTTCCATATATACATACATGTGTGTGTATATATATGTCAAATGCTGGCCTTCTCTAATATGGGATTGTGAAGGAGGAAGAGAGAGAACTCAGAATTCAAAATGTAACAAAAAAAAAGATACTTTTTAAAACAAAATCTCAGCTGGTATTTTACTTTCTGCAGGAAGTCTTTCATGGTCTCCCTCTCCCCCCACTGCTATACTTCCCCTCAAAGATCACCTCCCATTTGTACTATATATATCTGGTATATAAGTGGTTGTTTTTATATTCTGTCCTTCCTTTAGACTGTGAAACAGAATGAGTTAATGCTCCTTATCCATAAATAAGAGTCATTCAAATACATGAAGACAGCAGCTATCATGTCAATCTTAAATTCTGTCTTGAGGACAGAGGGTTTTCTTTTTGTCTTCTTTTGTTATCTCCAGTATTTAGCACAGTGCCTGTCATACAGTAAGTGCTTAATAAATGCTTGTTGACTGCCTTGCCTTTTTGTGACTCACAAGCCTAGTTAGTAACTCCCCCCCCCCAACTGAGGTTAGTCTGGCATGATGTTCTTGATGAAACCATGGTTGCTTTTTGTGACTGCCACTCTTCTAAATGTTCACTAACCTTCCTAAAATAGCCTAATATTGTGTCAAGAATCACACACACTTGTCTAGAGTTTGCACACACCATGCACACCCCTCTTACTGGTCCTTTTCCAGTCCTGTGATACCTCACTCATTCTCCATGATCTTTTAAAACTAACAGTTTTTTTTTAGTTCTTAATCTGGTGACTTGAACTTACTCAGGGCAGCTAGATGCACTCCTACTACCTTTCAACTTGTCTCTTTGTTCTTTCCTTTCTAATCCCAAGATCATTCTTGTCAGCAGAGAAAACAGAGACACCATAAAAGATGAATAGTTTTTCTTTTCTTGCCTTTATCATCATCAGTCTATATCCCAGATATTAATCCTATACCTTCTTTATTCCTCTTTGAAAAGCTCATTCTGAGCTTGGTGCTCCTACCACTATCGTTAGAGGATAATGCTGTGCTTTTGGAATTTTTTTTTTTATTGTTATTTTTTTTAAAATCAATTATTTATTTTTTGCTTAGGCAATCAGGGTTAAGTGACTTGCCCAAGGTCAAGTGTCTGAGGCTGGATTTGAACTCAGGTCTTCCTGACTCCAAGGCCAGAGTTCTATTCACTGCACCACCTAGCTGCCCTGGAATTGTTGTCTATATCCTGCCCTTGATTCCATATTTTAGAAGGGGCTAGGATTCTAGGATGTTCTAGGATGTTCTGACTAAAGTTCATGTGGCTAAAGTCCTCTTAGCCTCTAGCAAGCATCACTCAGTAACAAGAGTGATCAAAAGCAAGTTCCTGATGAATGAATTTCAAATCAAACAACCCAATTATGCCAGGGGGAAAAGGGACAAAATAATTCATACTTCTATTGCATTTTAATGTTTTATAAAGTTCGTTCTTGATGAAAATTCCATGAACAGACATATCACCCTCATTTTACAGGTGAAAAATTAAGACTTAATGAGGTAAAGTGACTTTCCCAGAGTCACAAAGCTAATAAGCCATCAGAGCCAGGATTCAAACCTAGGTCTTTGAACTCTAAAGTCCAATATTCTTTCTGTGAAACAAATCTCATCTAGACCAGGTCATTTCTGGAACAAATCTCTGGACTTTTTGGTCTTAAAATTTTCACAAAGGATTCTTGCTTCTTTTAGAGGGTAGATTTAAAATTAGAAAACACTTTGAAAGACATGGACCATCTCCCCTACCATGTTTCAGTCCATTTCCTAGGAGAGGCAGCTCTTTCCCCATCAATTTTTAGATGTAAAGAAATATTTAAAAATATACCATTACCAGAAAGAAAACCCTAGTACTGGTCAACATATAGAAGAGCAAGTGAATCTTGAAATACACATAATTGTCACTCCATCAAAACATCCTCACACATACTCCTTAAAAGTAAAGGTAAGAGTACTACAACAACTACTAATGATGATGGTGAGTGATAGTGTACACCATGGTGTAGTATCTAGAGTTGGCTTCAGAATGAGGAAGACCCAAGCTCAAGTCCCACCACTGACATCCAGGCTGTGTGACCCTGGATGAGTCTTTTAAAACTCCCAATGCTCTCAGCAACTTTCTAAGACTCTTAAGATGCAGAGAAGCTATCAATTTGCACTGATAGAAGGAACTCTCTAAATCAGTCAAATCACAAGTCCAGTCCTTATCCCTGTCATTAAGAGAAGCTTACATTTATAAAGCACTATAATATACTGTAACCATAAAGTTTTAGATGTTTGCATGCCATCTTCAAGCAACAGGTGAGATAAGAAGGACAAGTATCAACCCCATCTTTTCAGAGGATAAAACTGAGGTCAGAGGGGTTAAATTATTTGTGCAAAGCTGCATAGCTAGTAAATGGCAGAATCAAGATGCAAACCTAGATACAATGCTATTTCTCCTACCCTACAGCTTCCCTTGAATTCTTATATAATTATAATCAGTCTTTTCTAGCATTTTACCTCATGCTCTTTTTATTTTACTGTTATTTTCTCTATATACTTTTATTTCTCAAACCCCTAACCCAATCTAGACCCAACTGACTTCTGGAAGACTTGAATCTTTGATGCTTGATCTTTGTGAAAATATTTTCTAGCATTTTTATTCTTATTTAAATTGTCACATCACACATCCTTACCTTCTTTTCTGAGGATGGTCTAACTGCTGGGGCCCTTAAATACAAACCCAGTCTTTGGGCAGTGTCCTTGCCTGGTCATTTGTGTGTACAAGTCCATTCTCTGCTGCATACTAGAATGTAAGTTGAAACAGATAGGATCAAAAGATGGGCAATTTGTCACTACTGTCCAGTGTTCCAATGGACTCCACCAGTATGCCAACTTCCTCAACCATAGTTGAAGGACATTGAGAGCCTTGGAAACTTAAGTACACAGTGCCTGGATCAGGCCTTCCAAATCAGTATTTAATCCAAGCCTGGAAGATAAAGCTCCTAACTGAAACTACTTGATTGAAAATCATTTGAGGCCTGTCCTTGAAAAGTACTTTCAAAAAGTTTCTAAGGATGAATGATGGCTTTGATTGACATTACTCAAAAGTCCCCTTTGTCCAATGGACAAAATAAGGCACAATGGGACTAATAGCCCATCGGAGACAGTTCTTCTACTGTAGTAGCTCTCAAAGTGTGATCTGAAGACCCCTAGGGGTCCCAGAACCCCTTTCAGGAGATCTGAGATATCAAAACAAATTTCTTAACATTGCTAAACTGCAATTTGCCTAATAAAATACTGCTCCCCTTTACATCTATATATCTGTGTTGGGTCAGTTTTTCTTCATATATTTTAAACAAAGCAATATACTGAAACAAATTGAATGCAGAAATAGATGAGAGTCTAGCTATCATCTATTAAGCCAGACAGTAAAGAAATCTGCAAAAAATGGCAAACAATGCCACTCTTTTCAATAATTTTTTTTATTTTAGAAAATAATTACTTTTCATTAGAAGCGTTTATTTATATTAACATGAAAAACAATTTTTTAACAAATTAACAAATCAATATTTTAAATTTTTTCACTTTTCAATGCCTATATAAATAAAAGATCTTTAGGGTCCTCAATAATTTTCAAGAGTACAAAGGGGTCCTGTAACCAAAACCAGTGGTTCTCCTACTGTTGTAGTAGGATAGCTCTAAGGCATCTAACATGAGGAATTAAACTTTGATGATTACTTGGTGCCAATCAGATATGTGTGTCTAAGTGAAAAGATATCCTGTTAAATTGACCCCATTATCTTTAGACAAGTGGGGAAATTTAAAGAACATGGGTAACATTAATCTTAGTCTCTAATGGGAGAAAAAAAAATGTTGTCTGCCTAGAATGTTTACCAAAAGATTGTGATTATATGTAACATCTCCCTTTGACCAGAGACAGTCATTACCTATACAAATAAAAAGACAATGTTGACAAGTAAGAAAATGATAAAGAATAAAAAAAGGTAAGTCCATTACAGGGCAAGAGGTGAGAAAACCCAAATCTCCAAGTTTATTTATTCATTTTTTGGCTAGGGAGTGGGGTTAAGTGACTTGCCCAGGGTCACACAGCTAGTAAGTGTCAAGTGTCTGAGGCCAAATTTGAACTCATATCCTCCTGACTCCAGGGCCAGTGCTATATCCACTGCGACACCTAGCTTCCCCATCCAAGTTCATTTTAATGCCAAAGTGATAACTACATCATCATTTAAATATTTGAGTAGTTTCGGGGTCACTGATTCATCTTCTATCATAGCCATTTTCAAGTAATAACTAAGGTGCTTTTCATTTAAGGTTACACGAGGTAGAACATTTCCATGGAAATAATACTGAATTTGGAATCAAAAGACCTAGATTTAAATTCTGGCACTGCCATTTACCACCTGTGTGACATTGGGCAAGTCATTTAACTTTTCTGCTCCTCAGCTTCCTCATCTGTAAAATGAAGGGTTTGGCCTCTAAGGCCAAGTCTTAGGAATAAGCCAAGTTAGATGGCCTCTAAGATCTAAGCTGAGAATTCCTCAATCCTAGGGAGCAGAATGACAATCCAAACCATAAATAGCGTCTTGTTTTAACACAGAAAAAAATCTCATCTTTTCTATTCCCTCCCTCCCTGCTATTTGAGGTGACATGAATTTTGTTGATCCATAGAATGCTTTACAAACACCACATGAACTGAGAACTTGAATCCTCAAAAACATAAATAAGGGGCTTAAACTGTTGCAACAGGACACAAAATTAGAGGGCAAAGCAAATAATTTGCTTTGAAGACAAGAATACAATTCCTTATAAAAGGTCAATGTGTTTCACCCATCAATTACTGCCAGGTGAGATATTTTGGTTAATTGTATCCTGCATTAGCCCTCCAATAATAATAGTAATAATTATAACAATAAATAAAAAGGCAAATATAATAGCAGCACTAATCAAACATTCAAAGATGTGTGAAGTATAATCTACTAAAGTAATACCACATAAGACATTTCTTTCCTTCTAAGCAACAGTACACAAAAATTTTGTTTCTTAAAGTTTTACTTTGTAAATTTTATAATTCTGAACATTAAAAAAAGGATTCCATATACACAGCAGGACACAAAGAGAGGGATTGTTTATGAAAGTGTCAATCTCTACTTCAGGTTGTTAAAGCTTAGCTGTAAATGATGTTTGAACTCTGAGGCAGACCTAGTTTTAAAATCTGTGACACTATACTGAATGACTGATAATTATGTAATCATATCCATCATACTAAGAATGTCTAGAACCAAGGCATCTTCCTTCAAGGACAAAAATACTTTCAAGCCTTTATAAACTAGTGAAATAAATAAGTAAGGAAATAGAGAAAAGCAACAGGATTCATTCACTGTATCCATCTCTTCCTACTTATCACAGAAAAAAAATTTTGTCCGTTTTAATTCTCAGAAAGTTGATGACCCAATTATAGAGTAATAAGTGAGCCTCATTCATTCATTTTTGCTTACTAATCCAGCAAATACCAAGCACTTGAAAAGTATGCAGAAAATGACTTCACTTAAGGGTATCATTTGGCAAAACAAAAACTTCACCCATTCAATAGTACCAACTGGTTCTACTACTTCAAGCCTCGGGCAAAAATTCCCCAGTATTCTATACAAAACAAATTCAAAGGAGAAAAACTAGCAGATTATTACTATATGGTATATGATAACACAATCTTCTAGTCACAATTCCAGATAACACAATGGTCTTTAGAAAATCTCCTTTTCCTGAAAATCCTGTACAAGACTAAAACTTTTTGCTTCAAAAGACTGAAACTCATTGGTGAAGGCACTACGCACTTAGATGCACATAAAAGCCCTTCTACCCCTTATCAATTCAAAAATTGCTATGGCCAACCTTTTAGGAATAAGCATTGCTGAATTTAGGCAGCTAACTAGGCTGGTCTTTAGCTAGATAGAAAATATACAACTTGTCATCAAACCCACACTAGAATACTTTCCAGCTTTTCTTGGACCTACCAGAGTTTACAATCCCCTAGAATAGCCCTTGGGAAGCTAGAATCACCTCCCTATCACAAAGAATTTTAGTAGAGGTGAGGTTAAAAAAAAAAAAAAAAAAGATTTCTAATTTAATGTTTGTTTAGACTCCAACTCTGTTTTCAATTCAATTTAAAAGGTGACTAACAGCCCTACCCTGCAAACTACCTGGGAAAATAATTAAACCAACCACTCCAAAACTTGAAACTATTCCAATCTAGACTTCACAAGGCAAGGAAATAGAATATTAAGAATAATCAAAAAGTTCCTATGAAGAAGCTAAGTCTTTTATCATTGTTCCTAGTAAGCCCAAGAAGCACTTCCTAAGGAGGATGATCACCAATCTGATTTTCAAATTAGAAAGTACTTGTTAATTACCCCTCCAACTATCTTCTGTCAGAGAACTTGAATTAGGGAAAGTGCCAAGACCCTTGCAATTTTTCCTTTTGAATGGTTCCAGGTGTAGGCAGACCTTCTCCTGGTCTAGAAAGTAATGTCACCAGCTAAGATGATGTATGTTGGGGCAGCTAGGTGGCATAGTGGATAGAGTACTATGCCTGGAGTCAGGAAGATTCATTTTCATAAGTTCAAATCTGGCTTCAGAAATGTACTAGCTGTGTGACCCTGGGTAATTCCCTTAACACTGTTTGTCTCAGTTTCTCATCTGTAAGATGGGCTGGAGAAGGAAATGGCAAACTACTCCAGTATCTTTGCCAAGAAAACCCCACATGGGATGACAAAGAATTGGACACAATTGAAATGCCTCAACAAGATGTCGTATACATGCTTTCACCACCTAAATACCCAGTTCTCTGACACAGCAACTTTGCTCTGCTTCCACAAGTTATGTTTCAATAAGTTAGAATTCTGGATTCCTGCAACAGGCCTGGACTCCTAATTGTTCATCTTTAATTAAACTGACACAAGCTACTGGCATAGTAATAAAACGATAGAGCTTGAAAGAATTTTAGAGATCATTTAGTCTAGGAGGTTCATTTAGTCCCAATCTGGAGTCCACAAACTTGCTCTTTTTTTTCCTTTTATATTTTGATTAACTGTCTTTCAATATAATTTATTCCCTTTGTCACTCATGACAAAACATTATTCTGAGAAGGGGTCTATGACAAAAAAAAAAAGCTAAGAGCCTCTGATCTAATTCAGTCCTTTTGTTTTATATGAGAGGAAAAAAAAACACCTCAGTATTAGTTGGTGCTTATTCATACAATATGGTATTTTGTAATGCCCTTTGTTTGTGTCAAAAGAACTTTTGCCTATACACCAATTATTGTACATTGGTATGCTATGGGCAGTAAACATGAAAGCTGACATGACTCATTTTCATTTATTTCACAATGCTTCATGCATAATGGATGTTGAAATTAAAAACCATACCAACTAAGCTTAGTAAGTACTGCTGTCAGAGATCCTCTTTATTAAAAACAGAATACCAACAAGTCTAGTTCTATAGAGGGTTTAAGGGGGCTGACTGTGATCCAAGGTTGAAGAAAAACTTTAGAATTTAATATCGGCTGTAATGCAACACAAAACAGCACATAACCTATTTACGAACCTTGTAGCAAAGAGCAAAGAAAAAGCTCAATTGTCCACACCCCAGAGAACTGGATGCTTTACCCACAAGGGGAAAATGCTTGGTGACTCTCTAAAGGAAGTAACAGAGTTTGCTCTCTGTTGTATGATCTGTACAAGACACTCTATCCCAGCATTTCCTCTGACTGTCCCCCATGCCCAGAAC